TAATTCCGTGCAGTCGTCTATACAGGAATATGAAGCACCATGAGTCTGTATTTATTTAGCTTATTTTTGTAGCAGATTATCTGTTATTAATATGTGTATTTTATTATTTGCAGATACAGTTCCCGAAAACGTAAGGAAGTTAAAAATCGTATGCCCAAGGCTTTTACTTACAGTAGGAGTAATAAAGGTGAATATGAGTACTTTATTGTGGTGTGAGAATTTTTACCATTCTAACTATTTGTATGCGACTTATATGATATTTAGTTTAAGATTTCATTTATTAAAATAGACTAATGATAAAACATTGTAATATTAAGTGTTAATGTGCATTTTACATTTAAAATGTTACATATATAACATATTTAATGTTTTAGCATATATTATTAGTATAATTAATTTTAAAGGGCTAATCAGATTTATTAGGAATTCCTTCATATATTGGCTCTCATTGTTTTATTATCTTGTTGGTAATGTTAACTGCTGTGAATTATTAGATACAGTGGGGATCTCTTCACAATCTTGTTATCAACGTGAAAGCAAACGTCGGCGTTTGTTTTGTCAAACTACAAATGCAGAAAAGGGAATACAAATGGTATGTATTATACTTTTTAGACAATGTATATTTAAACTGGTTTTTAAGGTATTTGAACACAAGTGGCGTTTAATAATTACCAATTACTACTATTTGTGTGAATTTATATCAATTCACGTTTTAAAATATATTATACGTTTATTGTTTTAATTAATATATTGTTGATTAATATTAACTTTAATGAACTATTAGATAAAGTGGGAAGTTCATCCGAAGAATGTCATCAACGGAAAAATAGACATCAGCGTCTTTCAGGTCAAACTTCGGATGCTAAAAAAAATTATATAGAGGGTATGTATTATACTTTCAGACTAATTAAGTTAACATCTTAATATTGTTGTAATATATTATGTGCTATTATTTATTGGTTTTTTTGGGTTTTGTTTAGGTTTGGGTAGTTATTCTTTTTGTTGCAGTAGGGAAATCTCTAACAGATGGTTCCTTGTGTTTAGTAATGCAGAGTATCAACGTAAAAGCAAGCGTCAACGTTTGTTTTGTCAAACTACAAGTGCAAAAGAAAGGCATACAGAAGGTATGTATTATATTTTTTAGACGGTGAATATTTAAACTGGTTTTAAAGATATTTGAACACAAGTGACGCATATTAATTACCAAATATTACTGCTCGAGTGAATTTATGTTGAAATTATATTAGAAAAAAATAGTGAAACGTAAATGTTTTAAATAAAAAATGTATAGAAACCATATGGTTAAATTAAATCATAATATTTATTGTCCAAAGGTTTTAAATAAAGTTCGCAAAATTGGTGAAATGAGATTGATTAAAAAATTACATTTAACATTTAGTATACTTACGTGATAAGATAGTAATTTTTTATAGGTTGGGATTCTGAATTTTTTAAAAATGTTACACATATAATAGAATTGGTTACGGTTATAGGCTAACAATATAAATTAGAGATTAATTTATATGAATGTTATCAATGGATGGGTAAATGTAAGTGATTCACGTTTTATAATATATTATACGTTTATTGTTTTAATTAATATCTTGTTGATTGATATTAACTTTAATAAATTATTAGATAAAGTGGGAAGTTCTTCCCAAGATTGTCATCAACGACAAAGCAAACTCCAGCGTCTTTTGGGACGAACTTCAGTTGCTAAGAAAAATTATACAGAGGGTATGTATTATATTTTCAGACTATGATGATTGTTGAAACTGGTTAAGTTAACGTCTGAATACTGATGTAATATATTATGTGTTGTTATTTATTTTGGTTTTTTGGTTTTGTCTGGGTTTTGGTAGTTATACCTCTTGCTGCATCAGGGCAAGCTCTACGAGATGGTCCTTTCGTGCTTGATGATGCAGAGTCTTGTTTGCATTGTGCTGCAAAGAAATTCATGTACGAATCTCCACACTTTTGTTGCTGTAATGGACAAGTTGTGATTGCTGCTAATGAATTTCCTGATGAATTATGTCGTTTGTATATATCACAAGAAGAAGATGCTAAACATTTTCAGATTTACAGCCGAATGTATAACAATTTGTTTGCTTTCGATTCTATATGTGGTAAAACTGAGTCGACAACATATAAAGGGATATATGTATTCAAAATGCATGGGCAGGTATGTCACTATGTTCCAGATTTATTACCCGATGATGATAGTCCCAAATTGTTACAGTTGTATTTTTATGATGGTCAGCATGAAATAGAAAATCGAGTTAAATGTTTTCCAAAAGTACGGGAAGATGTTATTCGTATCCTAATGGAGATTACTAAAAATAATCCTTATGCTAGATTTTTTAGATCGTTAAGGGGGATAAATATAGATGAGAACACGCAAATAATATTAAGACAAAATGCTATTTTGGAACAACATGTTTATAATGCACCTTTGTCAGATGAAGTTGTTGTGGTATGGCCAGATGGTGTTTCTTCTAATCAAATAAGCACTCCGCATATACTTTAGTATGGAAAATCTGGTCAAAGTCATCGAATTTATCACTATTATGGGTGTTATGATCCATTGTAGTATCCCTTGTTATTCCCCAATGGTGAATGTGGATGGACTCAGAATTTGAAAAAATTGAATGTTATTGGGAAAAAGCAAACACAACAGGTTACTGATCCTATACATTTTTGTGCAGTTCATACAGTGCAAAACTTTTTGGACGAAGAAGCATCACGTAATTCTATGTTTGATTATAAAAAAATTAACTCTGTACACGTTTATTTATTGTAAGAATGTGGATTTTGAGTGTTGACTTTTTTCTTTTGTAATATATAGGTGCTGTTAAACATAGAACGAGAGCTGATAAATACATTTCTCCGAGGGAATATTATGCTTACAAGCTTCGGATCAAGCTGCAGAATATGCTTCTAAGAGGTGGAAGATGTTTCCAACAGTTTGTTGTTGACATGTATGTAAAAATAGAAAAATCAAGGCTTGATTATCTAAGAAACAACCAAGATATTATAAGAGTTGACCTTTATCAAGGTATTCTTGATAGTGTGGCGGGTGGAGAAACTGATTCTTCTAAGATTGGACATCTTGTTGTTTTGCCTCCGTCGTTCATCGGCTGTCCTAGAGATCTTAAACATCGATATTTAAACGCTATGGCATTGGTTCAGAGGTATGGGAAGCCGAATATTTTTATTACCATAACATGCAACGCAAACTGGTCGGAAATAAAGGTTGAATTACATTCAAGAGAGAAAGCCCAGGATAGACCAGATATAGTAATTCGGGTATTTCGTGCTAAATTATTAGCGTTGAAAAAACCAATAATGAAGCAGAAGGTTTTTGGTGAAGTGGCAGCAATGATTTACATTGTTGAATTTCAGAAGAGGGGATTTCCGCATGCACACTTTTTGATAATACTAAAACGTAAATTCAAGATAAGAGGGCCAACATAGTATGACAAATTTGTTTCTGCTGAAATTCCGCCGTGTGATAATCCTATTCTACGTAAGATTGTCTTGACTCATATGATGCATGGGCCGTGTGGCAAATTGAATCCAAAATGCCCTTGCATGAAAAGGGATGGGCGTAAGTTGGTATGTAAAAATGGGTATCCAAAAAATTATATGTTAGAGTCAGAAAACAACAAAGATGGATATCCTCTGTATAGGAGAAGAGAAACGGGTGAAAAGGTGAAAATTAGACATGCTGAGTTAGATAATCGGTGGGTAGTATCGTATAATCCGTATTTACAGCTCATGTTTGATTGCCATATGAATGTTGAGGTATGCTCAACTATTAAAGCGGTAAAGTATTTATACAAATACGTTTACAAAGGGCATGATCGAATCTCATATAAGATTACTACTCCAAATGAAAATAAAGTTGATGAAATTGAACAATTCCGAACTGGCAGGTAGGTGTTGATTATTTAATTTGTATTATGTTGTTTTTTTTTTGCCTTAAATTTGTATTACATCAGAGAATTGAACAATCTTTTACTTTTAGGTGGGTTTCCCCGTGTGAAGGAGTATGCCGAATATTTGGATTTGATTTGTATGAAATATATCCTCCTGTTATGTCGCTGCCTGTACATTTACCGAATTGCAATCTATTGCTGTAAGACCTCGTGAAAATCTCAGACGGGTAGTTAGAGATTCAAAACGTTCACGAACACCGTTGACGGAATATTTTAGAATGAATGCGGCAATTGATAGCGGTACTAATATTTTATATGGTGAATTCCCAGAGCATTATCGATGGGATGCAAAAATAAAAGAATGGGTTGAGAGGAAAAATGATGTCACTGTTATTGGGAGGATAGCATTTTTTTTGCCTGCTGAAGGCGAATGTTTTTTTTGCGACTTCTGCTGTTACATACTAGGAATGAAAAATCTTTTTCAGATTTATGTACAGTTGATAATTATGGCTGTGCTACATTTAAGGAAACTGCTAAATGACTTGGTCTTTTGGAAGATGATGATGCTGCATCCATATGTTTAGCCGAAGCTGCAGAGGTCCAGTTACCAGATGCTTTAAGATGACTTTTTGAACGGTTTTGATTTTTTGTCAACCAAGTGATCCATCTGCTTTATGGGAAAAATATTATATGGCGTTGTCAAAAGATTTTAGGTATAAATTTAAGGATTGTTCTGATAAAATCAAGCAGCTTATTGTCAGTTTGTTAGAACAACATCTTGAATCCCTGGGTAAATCGCTAAAGACTTTTGGTTTAGATCATCTATGTTACACTGTCGGTGATGATTTTAGGAGAACAAGAGATATAGCTGATGCATTAAATACAGCAATTCCTCAGGAATTTATAAATAAAAAGGACTGTTTGAATGTAGGTCAGTTGAAAGCATTCGATTGTATAATGAAACATGTTCATGAAAAAACAGGTGGAGCTTTTTTCATTGATGGACCGGGTGGCACTTGAAAGACATTTCTATACAATTGTTTATATGCGGAAATTCGACTGATGGATAAAATTGTATTGCCTACTGAAACATCTGGAATTGCGGCATCAAATCTTCCTTTAGGGAGAACAGCTCATTTTAGATTTAAAATACCAATTGATCACGAGAACTCTTTTACGTGTGATGTGCCAAAACAGGGGAGTTTAGCGCATTTAATAAAAGAGACCACTTTGATTATTTGGGATGAGGCTTCTATGGCCAACAAGGCAAATTTACAGTCTCTTCATTTGCTACTGCAGGATGTATGTGACAATAAATCACTTTTTGGTAGTAAGCTTGTTGTTTTGGGTGGAGATTTTAGACAGGTTCTACCGGTTGTGCCTCAGAAGTCTTTAAAACAGGCTGTTGAATCAAGCATAGTGACTTCATACATTTGGACATGTCTGAAGAGGTTTAGATTAACAGAAAATCAAAGAGCTCGTGAAGACCTAGCATTTTGTTTGTTTTTGCTATCTCTTGGAAATGGTGAACTGCAATCAAATGAGTGTGATTATGTTCGTTTGCCTGATGGAATGATTCAACATCTGAATGGAGAAAGATCATATTCTAGAGATTGTAAATGCAACATTTCCAGAAGTTGAAGAAGGTACAATAACATCGGATATCTTTGCGGATAGGGCAATTTTAACTACGATGAATGATGATGTGGATTTGGTTAATTCGGTTTTAATTGACCTGTTTCCTGGAGAAACAGTAATTTATAAGAGTTTTGATGTAATGCTCAATGATACGTGCAATATATATCCGGTAGAGTTTATAAATAAACTTTGTCCAGGAGGAATGAGTCCGCATGAGCTCGTTCTTAAAAAGGATTGTCTAGTGATTTTGTTATGCAACATAATGCCTTCTGAAGGACTGTGTAATGGTACAAGATTGATTTGTAAGAGATTTCTATCGAACATAATTGTCTGTGAAATATCTGTTGGACAATATAAAGGGACAACAGTTTTTCTACATCGGGCAAATTTACGACCTCCAGCAAATGGCAGGTATCCCATCACCTTTGAAAGAAAACAATTTCCTATAAAATTATGTTTTTCCATGACAATTAATAAATCGCAAGGGCAGACGTTAAATCAAGTGTCCATATATCTTCCTCGTCCATGTTTTTCCCATGGTCAGTTGTATGTGGCTCTATCTCGGGCAAAAAAGGCTAAAAATGTTGTAATATATACCACCAAACCACCTGAAGGGTATCCCACGAATTCAGTTAGAAATGTAGTGTCTTATGATATTTTAAAGTGTTCGCATATAATCTAGCATTAAATATTTAGTTTGTTGTTTAATGTTATTTGTAGAACGTTATTTGTTGCAATAATATCCATGATAAATTGTGTTGCTTGATTTAATTTTTATACTATCTATTTTGTATCGTAAATTTCTTGTACTATGATACGTGTTTTTTTTGTAAACTCCTTTTCCTTTCGTTTAAAAGATGCAAGCATCCTTTTCATATTTTGTAGTTGTCTCATATTGTTTATCATCTCTTTGCAACTGTTTATTGTGTTTTATTTCACATTTACGGGTAATTAATTATTATATAGTATAGGATAGTTGGATGTTGATTGGATGTTGATTATAAGCTTGATTAAGGTTTAGAAAAGAGAGAGGAAAAAAAAAAGGAAAAAAAAAAAGGGTAAGAGAACTTCTTGTTGTATTGAAAACTGAGTTTGCTGGTGTTTGAGATGATCATGAATAGTTAATAATGTTGCATGGATATGAAGCTTGTAATTTTGAGATCTTACGTTTTACTGAATCACAGGTTTGAGTACGGATTGAGAATGGAGAGTGTGGGTCGTCTGGTATATTACACTGGATGTAACGTAGATTTCCTGGTGGGTGCTATTCAGCTGAAAGTAAGTAGAATATTGGCGGTACTGGATCTTATCAAATGGTTGGATAACGACCGTCCTAAGCAATTAGCTTCTCACACTCAATTTAGATATAGTACAAGTTAGGTTTTAGTTCAACAAAGGAAATAAATAAATAGTTGCAATTTCATTTAAGTGAAATTTGAATAGTTTATATAGTTGGGTCCGTAATTAATGAGAGCGATTGAAAAATTCAGAGGTTTAATGGGTAGTTTTTTCTGTGAAAACGTGGTCGTGAGAGTTTAGTGGGATTTTTGGCGGTTTATCGAGACTTAAAATTATATAATTTCGGGAAATCGTAAAAAGGAATATTTATTCCAAATTCCTAATTATATTTTTGTAGGCGTAAACGGTTGAAGTCACCACTTTTCTTTCCACTTTGAAACTCCGTTCCAAGTTTTTGTGAATCCGGAATTTATTGTGGTACCAGAGACTTCGAAGCTCAGTATTGGTTGGAAACGAGCTAGACGAAGGTAACTTTTTCTAGATTTATTTTGGACCTTTTTACTTTTTTGTGATTTTAATTTCAAATAAATATTTTCGACAAAAAATGTCTCGCGATCAAGAACTGGTGAAAAGATTTGTGATTACTAAAAAGGGGGACGATGAGGTATTTCAAGTACCTGTGGGTTCTGTCTCTTTCAAAGAGTGGGAGGAGCCAACTACTTCTGTAAGTCGTTGCAAACATGGGCCTCGACGATTGACTGAGGGTGCTGAAGAGTGGTATAATCGTGTTGAAAATTCGGGGATTGCGACTGCTGTTCCGTACAGTTGGTGGATCGTGGAAAACCAACGACACCGGTTTGCTGAGCAAATTGAGATTTTTTATGGTATTTATGAACAGGATGGATATTGGTGTCGAATGCCAGTATTCGAAGACAGAATTCACAGACCTCCGCCTGGGTATGTCGGGGTATATACTAGGCAGTTACAGTTTGGGCTGAGATTCCCTCTTCACCCTTTCGTAATCCAATTGCTCAATGGTTACAACATTTCGTTATGTCAGCTTACCCCAGCCAGTATTCGTCGGGTAATGACGTTTTTATGGGTTTCTCTTTTTTATGGATTTGACCCTAATATTCATATATTTCGAAGACTGCATGAATTGGTGCCAGATAATGCATCTAGCAATCGACATGGTCTTGGATGGTGGAAAATAGAATCACGAGAATGGTTTATGACATCTTGGCCAGACGACATGTATAATGAAGATTGGAGGGGTCAATGGATTTGGGTGAGGGCTCCTTACGAATAGAGTCATCCGAATTATTTTGGGGCGGCAAGAAATCTGAGGAGGCCTGATAACAATATGTCTGTTATTGGTCCTGACGATATGTCAGCCGAAGCAATGTAGTTGCTGAAATTGTTTGGGAAAAGGAGCATAAGGAAGCGGGGCCGAGAACAATTCATTCCAGAGAATTGGCTACCCTGCTATCATTATATATTCCAAGAAAAGATTTTAGCGGCAGTCGGTCTTAGTCGAATATATCGAGATGGTGAGAATTCCGACAGTTGCCGAATGATTATGTTTGCTTTTTTACTATTAATTTCCACAATTGCCTTCCCGATTTTACATATGTTACATAAAATAATATACTATCAGCACTTATAAATTGCCTTTTTCTGATAATAAAAAAGAAACAAATTATAAATTAAAGTATTTTTATTTTTGTATTTCAGAGCTGCATGAAACGAACTGTGGGTTGAACTATAGATGTTTGGGAATAAATGTTAAGCGACGTGTGATGAGGAGTAATCCCCCGGTTATTGTTCAGTCTGAAAGACCTCCTTCGTTGTGTGTTTCTAAGTTAGACATAGTTGAATCAGAAATATACTCTAAACAGAAGCCTTGGTATCTAAAATGGGATCCATTTTTCCCTCTGGGCCCAGAAGAAGAAGCGGGTGCTATTGCTGCTACCGCTGCTTACGGAGTTGTGAGAACCGAGGGTATAGCAGACAGATCAGAGTTTATTGTCGGGATTGATACTGAAGATAAAGGGTTATTGAAAACTTCGGTAAGTATCAGTTTGTTTGTTGCTTTGTGATGTTTTAGAGCTCTCTTGAAGTACAAATTTTTTCTCAAGATTTTGGCTTGGGTATGCATGTTATGTGTAATTTAATGATTGTTTAATATGTGACTATGTGAGGAACGACTGTTTTAACTTTTTTTTATCTTTCTTCTATAATTTGCTTTATTAGCTAAAATTAGTTAGATATATCTCCAGTTTATATACCGTGTATGTGTGTGTTTGTTGTTTTTGTTTGGACCATATTGATAATACAATTCGTCCACTGTCCTTTTCCTTTGTTGCAGGTTGATGAAATAGAAACAACAGTACATGAGGAGGCGTCTTTATCCCTTTCTTTTTCTGCAAAGGGAAAAAACGACGATATGTCCAGAAAAAGAGAGGCTCGAGCTATTGTTAGACCAGATCAATTTCCTTTAGAGGATTATTCTCGTTCATTCAAGAGGTTTCGTCAAGGCGAAGGTGTTTCCGAGATAGTAAGAACGAATTCACCAGATCCCTTTCGTGTTCAGAATCAAGAAATTCTAAAGACTTTTGCTGTTCAGAATCAGGATGAAGATGTCCAGCAAAAGTTTTGTCCTTTAAATCTTAGTCGACCCCAGCATTTGGCATATCATTTCTCTGAGAATGTTGAACGATATACCGATGCTTTCATTATACATTTTGATAATGACAATGTACTGAATCCCAAGGAAATCTCGGTAGATCTCAAGGATAGTGAAAAATGTGTTGAAGTGCCTCGCCAGGAAGATGTACCATCCGTTTCTGGTATGGAATCATTCAAGACCTTTAAGTCCAATGAGATGGGGTTTGATTTTGTCCCACTTGTGGTTGTCCCTAAGGCTGTAAGGGACAGCTTGATAACAAGCCAGAAACCAGCTGTTGAGTTTTTTGGGGACTTCACTGGTCTATCCGAGTTTAAAAAAGCACAAATATGGTCAACTCAGGCCGCTGCTGGAGTTTCCGAATCAGCTGTAAAGGTACCAGACCTCGTAGCCGAACATTACAAGTTGCTGATGCTGGTAACATTCTCTACTTCCGTTTGCCTTTATTTATTTGTTTATTTTTTTCTCGGTTCTTTTTTTAAATGGTTTATGTTAAAGTGCCTGACTCCATAATAGCTGATACAGTGTTCCTTTGCCAAAGTTGTAACTTCTGATATGTAGGCTATTCAAAACCACGTAATTATTGCTGGCTTGAACGAGGAGCTTAGGAATAAAGCTAAGACGGCCGATCATCTATGTGACATTGAGAAAGAAGCATGTTGAAAAAGCATTTTCGGAAAGCCAGGCTCAACTGAATAAGACATCGGAAATTTTCCGTAATTTTTTCCATGAACTTGAGCAGTACTTCTTTCCTGAAATTGAGCAAAGTGAAGATGTCGTCTATTTCTATGGAGCTAAGAATATTCTAAATTTGGAGGCTCGAATTCAGCAAAGGTTTCGAGAAGAGGTATCGGCCAGAGAACTACTGGCTAAACAACTGAACGATGAAATTATTCTCATCAATGAAGAGGCTGAAAAAATAAACAGTGTGAGCTGAAAAAGGATATAGACTGTCTAAATGATTTGATTTCAGTTAAAGATCTTAAACTGACAGAGGCTCAATATGAGCTTCAAGCTGAAAAAGATTCTGCTATCAAGGATAGGGTTGATTTAGAAAGTGCAAGGGAACAGCAGAAGACCCGTATTTACACGCAAGAGCAATATAATGAAGGTTATGAAAATGGGTTCAAGATTAGTCGTCGCCTTGCAATTCATCTAGAGCCAAATATTAATTGGGATGCAGCTGAAAAATGGTCTATGAACTCTGGTCACCCAAATATGTAGTACCCACACCCTAATGAGCTTACTTTGCTTGGACGTTTAGCTAGAGAAGAGGTGTTGGAAGAGGATGAGGACGGTGAAGAGGATGGTCCTGGAATTGATAAAATCGCCAATATTGACTTATCTGTTGCCGCTGAAACCTTAACGACACCTTATGTTGATGAAGTGAATGCTGAGGTATAGGAATTCGGGTGGTCGTTTGCTTCGTATTGCGGATCTACAATTTGTTGACTATTGAATTTCGTTTTAATCTTTTGCCTTCTCTTATAGGTTTCAGCTGGACCTCTGTGTACAATACTTGTATTAATTTTTGTTTTAAATTGTACTTAGTTCGACGATTGGGTTTTCGCTTGTGTTCGTCTGCCGATTAAGAGTTTGCAGTTTTGGTTGTTCTGCATAATGCGTTTTGTTTAACGTAGTTTTGGCACGGCTGTAGAGTTTTGTATCGGCGAATTCAAACTTCCGTCATTTAAGAGTTTACAGTTCTTGTTATTTTCAAGTGAATTCAAACTATTAAACTCCAGGTAGATATACATTAGTTTTGTAGCTTCCCATGTAACGAGTGAATTACTAGGCAGATATACATTGGTATACTCTATATTGAAAAAAATATAAGTGATCTTCCAATGTATTATTTCCCACTGATAAGTCTACACACCAGTTAATAGTTGTATGCTATTTTTAAAAAAATAGATCGATCAAGTACATTTCACTTGAACAACCTAACATCACAACATATAACATTATATTCTAAACCCAAAGCGATTAGGAAAACATTAATTTAAAACAAATAAGATGTTATTATATTATAGTTGAAGGCAGAAAGATTAATATACAATAAAGCAGGTTTCAAAATACTACGTATTTGTTTCATAACACTGCTTTAAAAATATGGCAAATATCATAAATTCTAAAAAGTCTAATTACACCTTGATATTAAGAAACCGTTGTGGTAGACTTCAGTCACAACTTTTACTTTTATACGTATCAGAGTCTTGAACTGAATCCTGATCATCTTCATTGTTATTCTCATTATCAGAATCAGACTCGCCATCATCGTCACTATCATCATCTGCGTCATGATCTTCATCGTCGTCATCATCATTTAAATCAATATCATCGTCATTATCAGCGTTGTTACCAACGGCATTCCTTTTAGGCTGGAGTTCTCGGGTCTGGGTTTTTGAATCGGAAATTTCACTGTCTGATGACACGACTATTACTTTTGGGTGATGGTTTAAATTATCGTCCATCCGTTTTCTTTTACTGCTTGGTTCTCCCTTTTCTACATTTCGGTCCATATTAGGAGTATGTTGCTGCAAAAAATCAAGATGACTATTCATCTTCTTTGTGATATTAGCAAAATATAATAAGAAACTTGGAATTTTCTCTTGTTTAGAATCTCCTTCGTTTGGCTTCCATGTATTTGGAGAAAAAACTTCCCCAGAAGCCGCAGTGCTGTTGGTGCTTGCCACTTTTGTTTTTTTTTAAAAGGTTGAAGGAAAGTAATGAATGGAGAAAACGAAGTACGAAAGAAGTAGATACAAATATTGAAAAAAAAAAATGGCAGAGCGGTGTTAAAAATAAGATAACTGCAAATATATATAGGCAATCGTTTTCCAATATTAACAATTATTACTTATTCTTGAAAGAACAAGAACTTGTATTTCCCAATAAAAAATTAAATCACTTTTACACGTAAAAGAATTACCAAGCAGTGAAAAAATCTTTAAACAATGCGAAAAGGTATACTTTAAAAATACCTTGCTTATTATATGTAATATCAATATACAAATGTATTAGTTATTTAGTATCATTTTCATTTCCTTTCAAAACATAAGAAAATAAAAAAAAAAAAACAAAAGGAAAAAAAAAATGGTAACTGATTAGGGGATTTTTCCCTGCCAATCATCATCTGACAAGTGGGCTATTCAGGCTCTGTCAAGTGTCCGCCACGTGGACCAATTGGAGCCTGCCACGTGTCAAGTGTTGACCGATCCACCTTGGACCTCTTATGCCACGACACGTGGCCTCCCCATGCCAAATGGGAAAACCGGCCACCTAGGCCCAAAGTCTTATGGGAGCCCAATCAGCTCTTGGTTGACCTAAATCTAGGACTGACACGCATCCCAAGGCATATAAATACCTTCATTAATACTCATTAAAGGGGTATTCAGCAATTAATTACTCTCACTTAGAGAACCTAAACACACTGATCACTCCTCCCCTAGAGGAACCAGATCTCCCTACCTTTACTTTTCCGCATTTATTACTCCTCAAAGAAGTACTAACTTGACCGTCGGAGGCGGAACTCCCACCACAAGGAGTCTCCGTTGTTTTGCAGGTATAGGCGCAAGGATACCGGTACCGGAATTGTAACTCTCCCGCAGGACATTAAAAAACCCCGAAACAGTAACTTCCATTATTAACTGCTCCATAAATATAGAAAGATAGCCTCCCATCGTAACTTCCAATTGTACTGCTCTGTACATTTTTTTTTTGTTTCAAATCAAATAATGTAGTTATGATAGACAGTTTATTACTTTAATTAGTGTATATTTATTTGGTACTATTAAATTGGCACTGAAATAGCAGTATTCACGAATTTTAATCTGTACATTCAATTGTGTTCTTTTAAAGCCTACTGAAAAAGGAAAAAAAAAAAGGAAGAGGTAATGATTAAAGTTTAAATATCTCTGATTATTTTGATTTTTAAAATAGGAAAAAAAAATATATGCAGTTATTGTTAAAAAAAAACAGAAATAGAAAGTATAACGGTTTAAATTTTAAAAAATTTAACAGAAGAAAGAATACGAGAGGTTTTCTTGAAATTGAAGTTGCTTAGACTAAATAACAATTTAACACTTATACGCAAACATATCTGGTTAAATAAATAACTGATATTTACCCTGTATACCAATAGTTGAATAAGGTTTCTATATGGTACGATTTTTTATATGTTTTATATTTATTTTTTATGAGTAATGATTAAAATAAATAACTGATATTAACTTTGTAACCAATAGTTAGATAAGGCTCCTGTATGGTTAAATTTTTTACATATTTTACTTATTTTTTAACGGTCGTGATTTCATAATCTAACATAGTTAATTACAGCTATTCATTTAAACGTATATTATAACAGATTTAAAATAAAGAAAATAAATATTAGATTTAATCAATTCAACAAAGGAGGAAAAAAACAAAAAAATACCATTTCAAAATGTTGGAATTTAGATAGCTTCTACAGTTAGAGCCGTAATTAAGGAGTTCCATTGGAAATTTGAAAGGTTTAGTGGGTAGTTTTCTTCGAGATAACGTGAACAGTAGGGGTTTTGTGGGATTATTGGCGGTTTATCAAAATGAAAAAATTATCTAATTTCAAAAGCGCGTATTACAAAACTTGTCTTCCCAGTTCATCAGTTACTTTTTTACAGACACAAACCCTTAAATTCGTTAATTTCCTTCCCAATACTAAAATTTCATTTCAAATTCCTGTGAATCTCCGATTTATCTAAGTCTCAGAAACTTCGACATTCAGGTTTGACCGGCGACGAATCAGATAAAAGGTAATTTTTTCAGAAATTAATTTGAATTTGTTTAATTTTTTTAAAATTTAATTTCGGGTCGATATTTTTACGGAAAAATGTCACGAAACCGAGAATTAGTCGAAGGATTAACCGAGAGTTCTGAAGAGTGGTATGATCCTGTTCAAAATTCTGGGATTATGAATGCTGCTCCGTAGAATTGGTGGATTGTGAAAGATGAACAGCACCAATTTGCCAAGCAAATTGAAATTTTACGGTATTTACGAAACAGACGGGTACTGGTGTCGTATGCCGGTTTATAAAGATAGAATCCATAGACCTCTGCTAGGGTATGTCGGGGTATATACCAGGCAACTACAGTTTGGTCTGAGATTCCCTCTCCACCCTTTTGTCACCCAATTGCTAAATGGATATAACATCTCGTTGTGCCAACTTACCCTAGACAGTATACGAAGGATAATGACATTCCTATGGGTTACCCTTTTTTATGGGTTTAAACCTAGCATTCATGTATTTAGGAAGTTGCACGATTTGTTGCCGGTTAATCAACTTGATAATCTACATGGTCTTGGATGGTGGCAAATTGAACCCCGAAAATGGTTCTTGACGTCTTGGCCAAATGACTCGTCTGATGAAAATTGGAGTGGTCAATGGATTTGGGTGAGGGCTCCGCCTGAAGAGGAACATTTGAACTACTACAGGACGCCGAGAAATCTGAGAAAGCTTGATAACAGCATGTGTGCTGCCGGTCCCGACGAAATGTGGGTCGTTGACATACAGCTATTGAAATTGTTTGGGAGAAAAGTCATAGTAAGACGGGGTCGAAGACAAGATTTCCCAGCGACCTGGTTACCCTGTTATCACTATATCTTCCAAGAGCATATTTTAGCTGCAGTCGGCCTCAGCTGAAAATACCGATCCGGTAAGGATTCGGCTGGGGCCGTAAGTTTATTACTGTTTAATTGTTTTTATTTTCTATTTTATTTTAGAAAAAAAAAAAAAAACTTATTTCATTTTTTATAAGAATTCCAATACTGCATGAAGCAAACTGCGGCTTAAACTACAGACGATTGGGGATAAACGTTGAACGGTGTGTGACAAAGAGTGCACCACCAGTCACACCCGTATCCGAAAGAGCCCTTGCAATGTGTGTTTCTAAGCTAGACATAGTCAAACCTGAAGAATATTCGAAACATAAGCCTTGGTATCTAAAACGGGATCCATATTTCCGTTTGGGTCCCGAAGTGGAAATTGCTGCTACTGGTGCTGCATGTGCTGTTGGTGTTGTCGTAAGAACAGAAAATTTAACAGTAGTTTCAGGAGTTAAAAAGATCGGGTTTAGAAGAAAACGAATTGTCTACAGCTCTGGTAAGCACAAGTTTGTTTATTACCTTGTTATGCATGATATGAATTGCTTTTAAAGATTTTTGCTTAAAGATTTTTGCTTGAGGAAGCTAAAAATTCGAATGCTGCTGTATTATGTCTGTTTACTTAGTAAGAAGTGAATGTATAATTTTGGTAGTCATTTCCCTGTAATCTGCTTCATTCACATAAATAAATTAGTTAAATACAAGGTTAAACTATATTTTGTGTGTCTATGTTCACCGTTTTTCTTTGGACCATACTGATAACACATTTTTTTCCACCTCTCCTTTCTTCTGCTGCAGAATGATAATATGGCTAGAAAAAGAACAGGTCGAGTTGTTGTAAGACCAGGACAGTTTTCTTTAGAGGAATCGTCTCCCTCTCCCAAGAGGGTTCGGTTAAATGAGGGTTCATCTGAGGTGGGGATTCAGAAGACTCCAGACTCCTTCGTTGCTCTGAATCGAGAAACACCAATTCCTACTTCTGTCCATAATCGAGAAGAGGAGGTTCAGCAGGAGTTTAGATCTGTGTTTTATGATCAGCCCCAACATTTGTCACAACATTTCTTGACGGATATTCAAAGAGAAACTGATACTTTAATCTCACATGTTGTGAATGATAATGGGAAGAATTTTAACAAGGACTTAGATTGTCTGAAGGAGGGTGTAAAATGTGTTCAAGTGCCTCTCCAGGAAGAAGTTCCATCCATTTCGGGAATATGATCATTCAAAACATTTCGATCCAATGAGATGGGATTTGATTATGCACCACTTGTGGATGTTCCTGATGCTGTCAGGGACATGTTTTTAAAGAGCCGACAACCGGCTATTGATTTTTTTGGAAACTTAACGGGTCTATCGGAGCTAGAACGGGCTAAAATTTGGTCGAACCGGGCTGCTGTTGGGGTGTATGAACCACTTGATAGAGTGCCGGATCCTATTGCCGAAAATTACAAATTACTGATGCAGGTAACTTGTTCATTTTTTGTTTGCTTCTTGTTTTCCTTTTTTTATCACCGTTTCAACTATTTTAAGGTTAGTATTTAAATGGTTGAATTCGTACTGCCCGGGAGTTTGTTTCTTATCTGATTATTTAATTTCCAATATGCAGGTCGTTCATAACCTTGTAATTGCTGGTGGTTTGAACATGGAGCTAAAGGAAAAACTTGAAACTTTGGAGCATCAGGCTGAAATGACGGAGTTGACGAAAAGAAGTGTTGAAAATTCTCTTCTGGAAAGTCAATCTAAACTAAATCAGACAAAAGAAATTTTACATAACTTCTGTCAAGCACTCGAGCAATTCTTCTGCCCTCAAATAGAGCAAGGTGAATAGCTGATGCGTTCCTATGGAGCTAACAATGTTACAGATTTAAAAGCTCAGATCCAGGAAAGATTTCAACAAGAGACGTCGCTTAGAGAGCAAATTTCTAA